TCGTACTACGAGTGCAATGGCAAAACTTTGGGGGATTTTAAGCAAGAACATCATATGATCTAATATACATTTTTCAAATATCACTCAAGCTGTTGTAGGAGAACTGACTTGGAATGCAGTGTAGGGCAAGACTTTTACCAGGACCAGCGGAGAGGCTGCTGTAGCCCCCCGCCAGGAGACAGAGAATCATCGCTGAACCACAGGGTCTTGTGGTAGACATTATGGAAGTGGTCATATGCGAGGTATATTTTGAGGGTAGAGCCAATTGGACTTGCTAATGGGCAGTGGGTGGCGGGGAGTGAGAGGTCAAGGATGACTCCTATATTTTTGAACAAATGGCTGTAACAAACAACTGTCATTAACTGAAGAAAGAGTGAGGGAGAGCAAGTTTTAAGATCTGGAAATCAGGAATTCTATTTGTGACATGTGAAGTTAAACATACAAATAGAAGACAAGTGGATTGCTTGAGAGCTTGGATTCATCGCAAGGCGCCTAAGCTCCTGCTATTATCTTACTCATTGCTTCAGCCCCACCCCTCCTATTTAACCGTCCGCTCTTTCAGCGCTTCCATAACCTCCTTTTCAGTTGTGTCTGGTGAGTTCATAGCTGATATTTATTCTTTCACAGCACACTACTCTCTTTCACTCATCTCATCGCTGACATTGGAGAAGGTTAGTGGAAGACCTGAACTGAGTGATATATTTCAGAATCCCCTACTCTCTTCCAGTCCCCACCAAGCCAAAGAGAAGCCTGCCTTCCACCAGGACTGTCACTTTTGCAGCCACCCACTCAATGTGAGTAAGTCTGCCGGGCACTGCCCTCTTTTACTTATCTCTGACCCTCCTTTCCTACCTGAAGGTCTGCCATAAGCCGCCTGGTCAGGACTGCTCATCTCCAGTTTCCCTTCCAAAATATGTCTGGAGAAATCAGAGACAGTCATCCCAATAACAGAAGGGAAATTGTTAGGCCCAAGATACTACTTCCTTTTTCCCATAAAGTCCAGCTAGAACGATTCTGCTTTGCCATGTGGCCAGAGAAGAATTGCCAACTGCTAATATATTCCCCATTCTGCAACATATCCATAATTATTCCAGGGGGAAAAAAAAAACAGTCTTCCTGGTCATGTTGCAAGTGCAAAGTCATCTGTAGCACACCCCATTGTATTAGAAAGCTGTGCTTTAATACTATCTGCAACACATCAGAGAGGCCAGACTCAGACGCTCATGTGCATAGAGCAGGATCCACTCATCCACATTGCTCAAGGGGCCTTTCTTTAGGATTTTCGGCCACATGTCCCTCCTTGTAATATCCCATCCAAACCATTCTCAAATTTTCACTAGCACTAGACAGAACTGAAGAAAAACGTAAGACCTACACTAGTTCTGAAATAATTGGCAACTAATGATACTGATTAATCTCTGTCTTTAATGGGAAAGAAGAGCAGGCAACTACTGAATGTGACAGAGTGATCACCAGCTGTAAAGGGAAACCAATGCAGGTAACCTAAAAAGACCTTTTTGGAAACACAATACCCTGTTGCCAAATTTTACAAATAAATGGCAACAAAGCTGCTGAAGAGCAGAACAGCTCTTGATTTAGATGATTAAATAAAGGAATTCTCCCAAAACGCATAGCAAAAAAAAGAAAACCACACACAAAAAAGCTAGACATTAGAGGAAAATAAACATAGGGATGATTGATTCAAGAGATAAAATATTAACAAATAAGTTTCAGAAGGACAGTGAGAGAGAAATGAGCATCTGAATATTGCAGAGAATATTCCCAGTGTTGAAGAACAATCTGAGAAGACAGATTTCATCATAGAAACTGAAAAATAGAAGATCATTGCAATGCAACTGAGGCTTTGAAGGCATATGAGACTATATTAGGAGAGCATAATTGTGGCCACTAATATATCAGTGGGGGTGGTTAAAAATATTTCCTAGAAGAAATAAGGCCCAAACTGAATCTTATAGAAGATTCTAGAAAAGAGAAACCTCATCGATGTCTTATAGACATAAAATAGCATTCATTCCAGGAGGTGTGTATTCCTTTTGTTCAGATCTAGAAATCCCATGGTGAATTCTGTGTCCCCCTTTGCTTTCACTAAATATCATAACCACCAAGAAAATTAATAAGCATATGAAGTTTAAGTTCACCTGTGTTCTACAATGCCAAGACTTCACTAGTTAAAGATAGATGCAGACAATCTTGAGCAATCTCTGTGGGCCTGAACAGCCTGAGGGTCAACCTTCTTTCATCCCTCTCATCCCAAAGGTGTGTTTTCCTTTAAAAGTTAAACAAATATGATCTCTATATCATCAAATATTTTAGCTAAATATCATACACATAGGTACAAACACACAGCATGAGTGATGGAATTTGGGCCATAAGAATGGCCAGAGATACTGACCTTCTTCACTTTTGGCTATAAGATCACTGACAACACACACATAGATACACACGAAGAACACAACGTTAGAAAAGGGAAACAGTCTCACCATCAGACTGAAAATCATATAATGACAGAGCATTTCTAATACGTGTACTGACTGCTTAGACACTGGTCCTTCAAAAACTACCCAAGTCACATGTTGTACCTTTGAAATATGAGATACTAACAACATCCTCTCTACGTCACCCTGCTGGGCGAAGTCCCAAAAATAAATAAGGGATGCACTTGACTTGACTGAGTAAACTATAACCAAGTCTGTAACCAGCACAGAGTTGGGAACACCTCCAGAGCCTCCTCCAAGATGCTGCTGGCCCTGAGCTCAGCTCACAGCCCAAATTACAGTAAGAAACAAAAAGGGGGAGGGGGCTGTTGTGACTGTGCTTGGGGCTTGGGAGATCATGCTGCAGTGAGGAAGGGGCTGGGAGGGGAGAGAAATGAGAGGAAAGAGGAGGCTACAGAGTTCTTAAGACAGGATAAGGCTAGTCATGTCCTCATTACATGGCTAGGCTTTACACTTTATTTAACATGCAGTTGGAACCCAGAAAAGAATTTAGGCCAGGGGAATGACAAGGTAAGATTTACCATTTTAGAAACGTCTCTCCGACTGTGCTGTGAAGGATGCACTGGAGGATGGTGAGACTGGTACATGGAAAGTCAGTCATGAAGGTATTAGGGTAGTCAAAATACACAGTGAATGAAGGCAGCCTTGCTAGGTGATGAGGTATAGATAAAGATAAATGCACATCAGAGCCTTTTTAGAGATAGAGAATAGGATACAAAGTTTCTCTCTTTCTATGTAGAGATATAGAGATACCAGGGCCCAATGTTCTCGTTTTTTTCCCACTTGCATTTAATATTTCAGTGTGCTGTGGGCGATATGTGGAAGATTATATCCAAACGTTTACCCCTGGTCACCCTCCTTGAGAAAGCATGTTAACATAAGTGAAGTGATTAATGAGGAAAGAAGGCAGAAGTATACTAACAAGTGATATTGAAATATCACAGAACTTAGCATAAATTAGCATTAGGGTTCAAGGGATCCTAGGGAGGACGAAAAAAGCCTTTTCTATTTTGATCTTGTGGTTGATATTCAGCATAGTAACAACCCTGGCACCCCCTTACATCTTGCTCCATTTCTCAAGGCATCACAGACCATGGCTGACATGTTAACTTCGGGGATATACAGGTAGTGGCTGATAGTATCCCTTTCCCTGTAGAATAGGTGTGAGTTCTGAAAGATTTGGGACTTAACTTTTCACTCCATCTTGTGGTTTTTTCCCAGAACACTACTATGAAGAATTTCTCACATCCTTATCAGGTAAATTCCAATTAATCTTCAATCAACTTGTTTTCCGTTCTTTCTCAAGAACTTTTCACATTCTTATCATCATTTTCCTGTCAAGAATTGATTAATGTTAGTACCCCTAGAGATATAGGCAATCCTTTACCCAACCTTGATTCTGGGGACCGTGAGCAGGGCTCCAACTTGAACAACAGAGACGTCTCTGGCCTGGGTGACAACAGGAGTGCTGCCTGTTCCCTCAGACCAGCAATGACTGCTGAGAAGTGACAGAAAAAGGGCAGTAGTCCTAATTCTGACCCCTTGATCCCACTGAGAACCAACCCTTCAACTATTTCCTGCTTCCCCAATGTTCCTCTCTATAAATCTATGGTTTAAGGAGAAATGCAAAGAAATAAAGGTCTGGGTCCCTTTTCTCTGTGTTTCTCCACTCTGCTGTGCCCCTGTAGCTGACAAACATTCGCCACAGTTTTTTAGTGAAGCCCGTGTGGGCCATCTCTTCGCGTTTCTCTCTCTCTCTTAGTATTTCTGTAAGGGGGTCTTGGAGCCTTAGGTTCCTCATAGAGTCCAAGTGGCCAGACTTGGAGTCACAGTTGTCAAATTGTGTCAGGGACCTGAAATAGAACTGGCAGCATAACTGAATTAATAATCCCTTTGCTTTTACTCTGTCCTTGGAGACATTCTTTGAGAATTCCAAGGTATCTAAGACCTGCTCTCTCATCAAAATTAAAGTCACACATTTGTGTCAGGAGCAAAGAACTAGAACTTGAATATCATTGGTATGCAGATTAAGAGGAGTACTGCATAAGGAAGCAGTGGGCAGGAGGGAGGTTGGAAGTTGAGAAGCAGGTTCTGGGAGGAAGGGACTGTCTGATAAGGTCATAAAAGATCAAAATGAGAGGGGAGTCTTCCATCACTAAGCCCATCTATTCTTGTACCATACCCGTGTAGATATAGAGGACCCAAGCCAGAGCCCAGATCAGGAACCTCAGAGACCGCCTCCTGGGGGACTCCCACCTAGATCCCTTTCTGAAGATGAAAATGAAGATGGTGGTCCTCAGCAGAGACCACTTCCCCTAGGAGGATTCCCACCTAGAGCCTCTTCTGAGAATGTAAACCTAGAGGATGCTCTTCAGCAGAGACCACCCAGACCAGAAGGTAATCAAACCGGTCCTTCCACAACTCCTCCTGAAAGGCCCCAGAGATCACCACCCCCAGGGGATAGATGACCAAGACCTCTCCAAGGCCAACCACCACAGTAATCCTGAATTCAATGACAGGTATGATTCAAGTGCACTCTCCATCAAAGGCCCCGTCTCCTACAGTTCTCAAACACTAGTGTGCCAATGAATCAACTGGAAACATGTTGAAATTGCAGAGTCCTAGGGCCCGTTTCTAAAGATTTCTATTCAGATATTCTATTCAGATATTCAAGACCCTGTATTTTTAACAAGCTCCCCACAGTAATTCTGATTTTGAGAAACACTGCCATAAGTTGCCTTTTTTCCAAGGATTTCCTGTCTTAAAACGGGCTGGTAAAGGAGAAGTAGTGCAGTGTTCTCCCTTGGGCCTCCCCTCTGCTCCTCCTCAGGCTCAATGACTTCCCATCTCAGGTTTCCACCTGACCACTCTTTGCTCAGGCCTGCCTCACACCAGGCCTCTCAGGTCCAGTGTCCCTGCTAAATGATATTTTAATTTTATGTTGTTATATCTAGCTTTTTAAATATTTACTTTGAAATTAAAAAAAAAAAAACTAACAGAACAGAATGGTATGAAATTAAATCTTAAAGGCTTATCTGATCCTATCTCCTTCCTTCCTTCCCAAAAGCCACCACTGTTAACACTTTTGAACATCCTCTTTAAAAAATTTATGCCTATATAAACATAAATTAATCCTTTATTTTACAAATGATACCATACTTTATATGCACGTCTAATGTTGCTCATTTCAAATAACATATTTCTTAGAAAACTTGCATTTCAGTTCACAGAGGTACATGGTTCTCTTTGGTCTTTTTTTTGGTTCTGTTTTACCATTGTGTAATATTTCATTGTATGGCTGTGCCAAGATTTCTTCAACCAACTCCCTACTAGTGGACATTTAGGTTGCTTTCCATTTTCTATGATTGTAGATTATGTACAGTGACCATCTTTGTAAATATATCTTTGAACATTTTCAATAATAACCAAAAGATAAAGAACCTGAGGATAATCTTTTTCCTTCATCTTGCAAGCAACTCTTTAGAGCACATTATCTCTTAGGTGCATAAAAAACAGGAAACAAAAAGAAATTAGGAAGGAACTGGGAGAGGGAGAAGGGAGAGAGAGAGAGAGAGATGGGCTCTCACCTACTTCACTTCAGTAACACCAGCAAGGGATTAGAAACTACCTGCCATGTCCTAGCTTCTCTATTAACTTCCCTTTCTCTTTGTTTGTTTCAGAAAATGAATATGAAGATAACAGTCCTTCAGAAAGCCATGACATTGGAACAATGCAGTCTATCTTCAATATACCAATAAAATAATCAGCATCCAATATCTGAGTCCATCTCTCATTCTGGGTGTTTGTGAGTCTGGAATTTGAGGGTCATGAACACAACACAGGAACATCAAGACCCATTCTCACTGATGCTTCCAGCAAGCTTCATCCTGGGCCACTTTCCTGAGAAACACTTTTGCTTTGTTCTTTGGTTGGGGTCGGGAATAGATCTCTCCTCTTTCTCCCTGCTATTGCCTCCTCCTTCCCCAACACCTTCATTCACAAGCCAGCTGCCAAGTGAAAGAATTCCAGTTTCCTCCTTCTCTGGATTCTACACCACAAATGCTATTTTTTTTTAAATTATTTTCCAGAAGTTTTACAACATACTACTAATTTAACGGAAAGAAGGAAAATATAACAAATGTGAGGAAGTTGCCTAGGCTGATAGATTCTTAAAATTTACAAAATACTTTATCCTGGTTTCTAGGGAAATGAATGTGATTTTAGGCCTCTTCTCCCCCTAAACCACTATACCCCATTCTCTCATTTTTATCATTGCTCAGTTCTCTGTTGCCTTAGGCCCCCCAACTTTCTTTAACAAAACTTGAGTGTATTTCACAACAGACCTAGCATGATGAGTTTTAAAATAGAAGAAAGGAATTTGGAGTCCTCAGACATGAGTTGATGTCCTAACTTTTTTTCCTCCAACTCTGGACTTTTAGCATGCTACTTAAACTCTCAGAGCCTTAGTTTCCTCATATATAAAATGAGGATAATAGTAATATTTACCCTAAGGGACCCAGAATAACAAGCTAATGTCCATAAAAACCTGGCAGAGATTGACCTCACCTCTTCCTAATAATTATCTCAGAAATAACAGTAGACATGAAATTGTAAGGAATTAAATGCTCCCAAATTAAAATTTTTCAGATTGTTTTGTCAAAAGATCTAACCACAGTATTCTCAGACAATATCTGTTCCAGCTTTTAAAAAGAAAAGAAAAAAATAATCACTTTGTCTATATTTTTTAGCATTTTCTCTCTTACCATTCTATTTGCAAAAGTCTTATTGGCTTTTTTTTTTCTCAGTATCTACTAGTCTGTTGTTATTGTTACATATTTAATATTGACATTTATTTCATGACAATTTGAAAAAGAATGTTTTCTCAAACTTCTACCAGCTCAGGAATGTGTTAGTTAATGCAATGAAACATTGCCTACATAATATCAAAGTTTGTCCACCACCCAAATTAGGGTATCTAGAATGAGGAAGCAGAAAAGAAAAAAACTCATTTATAACAGATTCCATAGCTGGTTCTTAGATTAAAACAATGAAAAAGACAAACATCTTACAATACTACTAAAGGAAGAAAAACCAGAAAACAGTACAAACTGAAGAATGAAAAAGGTAAATTAACTCTAGATTCATAGATTTTAAAAAGAACAGGAAAACATTATGTAAAACTCTATTCTGATATGAAAATTTCAATTAAGTTGAAATTACTGTAAGATAATGTAAAATACCAAATTTGACCCAAGAAGATTAGGAAAAGTTGAATAGAAAATAACAGCGAAAGGAATGGAAGGAGTTGATAAGAAGCTGTCTCCATTAACCTATCCCTATTACCTCCAGCATCAATAGACATAGCAAATTTTAATATCTAACTTTTTATATCATTAAAAAACACATCATTCTTATAATATTTAAATTGTTCTCAAATGTAGAAAATGTTAACAAGTTTCAAAATTCCTTCAGTGTGGTTCACAAAACAAAATATATAGACCTGCAAAAATATTTCAAAGATATTTTTACACTTATGTTCAGAGCAGCATTATTCACGATAGTCACAAGGTGGCAGCCACGAAAATGTCCTTCCATGAATGACTAGATAAACAGAATGTGGTATATGTATATCATGGATTGATATTGTGATTTATAAGAAATATATATTTGGTCATTCAGATGACACAAGACATAGTTCTCAGATGTATTTGGTCTTTATGCACTCGGTATGGCTCCCAGATCCAGAAACCCCCTGTGATTTCCTGAGTGATAAGAGCAATGGGAGACTCTTTGGTTATCATATTTGGTCTCATGTCCTCAGTTCCTGAAAATGCTTCAGTGCCATAAAGGTGAAATTAGTGTCTTGTTATTCATCACAAGCCCTTTCCACCACAACTGAGTTTAGGTTAATCAGGGTGACTTTTGCAAAGTACCTAAGGATGGGGGCTGGTTACTAGGAAAACCAACCATGAGTAGTGTTTAGAACTGTCAGTCCACTCCCTGATTTCTGAGGAGGAGAGAGGGGCTAGAGGTTGAATCAATCAGCAATGGCCAGCGAGTTAATACATCATGCCTATGTGGTGAAGCCTTCGTTAAAACTCAAAAGGTGAGGGTCCAAAGGGCTTCCACCTTGGGCAACCGAAACACTTCCACGTGCCACCGTGCCAGGCCCCAAGCTCCAAGAGCACAGAAGTTCCTTTGTTCAGGACCTCACCTTATGTATCTCTTCATATGGCTGTTCATTTGTATCCTTTAATCTGCTTTGTCATAAATCAGTAATCTAGTCAGCAAACTGGGTTTTCTCAGTACTGTGAGCTCTTCTAGCAAATTAACGGAACCCAAGGATGGGGTCGTGGGAACCTCTGATTTGTTACCAGTAGGTCAGAAGTGCAGGTAACAACCTGAACTTGTGTTTGGCATCCTGAGTTGCAGGGGGTCGCTGGAACCTCCAGTTCACAGCCAGTGGGTCAGAAGCACAGGTAACAACTTTGACTTGCACCTGACATCTCAAGTGGAGGGTAGTCTTGTGGGACTGAGCCCTTCACCTGTGGAATCTGATTCTGTCTCCAGGAAGACTGTGTCAGAACTGAGTGGAATTCTCGGACACCAGCAAGGTATCCCAAAAACCTTGAGTATCCTGCTGGTGTCTGAGAATTGCTTGTTGTTGTGAGGAAGGCTCCACACACAATGGTTGGAATTTAGTCCAGGAACCCTTTCAATGGATACAGTCACACACCGCTTAAGACATTTTGGTCAACGATGTACCACATATAGCATGGTGGTCTGATAAGATTAGTACTATATAGCCTAGATGTGTAGTAGGCTATACCATCTAGGTTTGTGCAAGTATGCTTTAGGATGTTTGCACAACAAGGAAATCATCTAACGACTCATTTCTCAGAAAACATCCTTGTCAGTAAGTGATGCATGACTGTATTATTCAGCCTTAAAAAAGAAGGAAATTCTGACACATGCTACAACATCGATGAACCTTGAAGACATTATGCTAAGTGAAATAAGCCAGCCACAAAAGGACAAATATTTTATGATGTCATTTATATGAGGTTCCTGGAGTAGTCAAATTCATGGACTCAGAAAGTAGAATGAAGGTTGCCCAAGGCTGGGGAAGGAAACAGTGGACAGTTAGTGTTTAATGGGTACAGAGTTTTGGTTGAGGAAGTGAAAAATTTCTGGAGATGGATGGTGGTGATGGTTGCACATAAATGTGAATATACTTAATGCCACAACCAGTAGACTCAAAAATGATTAAAATGGTAACTTTAATGTTATGTATATTTTATCGCTATAAAAATTTTTTTAAGTATTTTTATTTTCTGACGTTTCTTTAAAGCTATAAAACTCCTTCAAAAGGAATTTCCTTTATCTCTATCACGCAATATTTATTATGTAATGATTTCACAATTGTTCAATCATAAATTTTTTTCCTTTTAATTTTCTCTTTATCCTAAGGTTATTTTATAGCGTGCTATTTAAGTTTCGAGTTGTAGGGGTTTAAACTATCCTCTTACTGTTGATATGAACTTTCATATTTTCTATGAAATTCATTCCTTAAAATTTATGTACATGGTAGATTTTTAAGAATAGTCTTGGGTGCTCAAATAAGTGTGTATTCTCTATGTTTGCATAAAGTTTCATACATTATATATGTTCAAGCTTAAACATATCATTCCTTATTTTTGCCTGCTTGAGCTATAAGTTTTTCAAGAAATGTGTCCAAATCTTCCCCTACGCTAGTTATCTCTTTCTCACACAATATCATCACTTTTTAACGTATATATTTGTGATAGCATTCATGGGGGCAATATGTTAATGGGTGTTATGGCTTCCTTTTACCATGATAAAAGTGCCTCCTTGCTTTTGAGATTTAGGTTTTTGGCATTACCTTCTATCTTATCTGATGACAAATTTACTACCCCAGATTTCCTTCAGTTCATGTTTTCCTGGTGTCCACTTTCTCATTCCTTTATCCTCATTTTGCTTTCTCTTCCTTTATCTGTATTCTTTTATCTCTTTAAACAAATTTTACTGGACTATTCCAATCAGTCTAAAGTCTCTGTCTTTGATCTAGGACATTAAATTAATTACATAATTTATTTTTATTACTATTATATTCAGTGTTCTTTCTACCAGCTTATTTCCTAGTCTCTGTTTTCCATCATTACTTGTTGTTTCTCTTTACTTCTCCTTTCCTTCCTTCCATTGCGTAGATCAGTTTGCTTTACACTGGTGTGAAAGTCATATATTCTACTCAAAATGTAATAAAGCCTGAATTGTGTTTATTTTATTCTTTAATTTTCTGAAACTTATCAAAACGTGTGTCTTCCTACTGAACAAGACAGTAGAATTTTCACATGCTGTCTACTCACTTTGGTGTCTTTTGTTCCCCACCTTTGCCGCAGACCATCTTGGTATCTTCCCAATTCAGGTCTTGATTATTGAGGTTATAATTTCAAGGGAAAGGAATTGTCTTTTTAGACAAAAATTAAATTAACTATGTGATTTTACTCACATTACAGCCCACATAGCTCGTTGCTATCTCCTGCATATAGCACACTTCTTTCTGGAGTTCTTCCTCTAAAAACTGTTTTCAGATAGGGTCTTCTGAGGCCTTTTATACCAGAAAGTACACTTATTGTCCCCTCAATTTAAATGATAGTTGACTGGATATACATTAGCTCTTTAAAGTCTTTTCCTTCCATACATTAAAAAAAAATTATTCCATTTCCTTCCTGCCTCCAGTGTTGCTCTTGACAAGTCTAATGTCAATCTGATATTTTTATTTTGTTCATGATCTTCTCTTCTCCTTAGTCGCTGTTCATATTTTCTTACCACTCTGATGTTCCTAAATTTCCTATAACCTGTTTTGTGTGGCTGCCGTT